TGGATACCTCAAGAGTAGAGTGGTCCAACTCTTGTATAGGGGTAAAAATGTCATCGCAGAAGACGGTGTACCCCGCCAGTTTTTCTTCCTTTTGATATTTGTGACATCTGTATGAACTTTCAGTTTACAAAAGTAACCAATCCAGGGTACACAAATGCGCTACTGAATCCACTTTAAACTGACAAAAAATGTGGGTGATCTTTCATATAAAGCTACTGTTGCCATAATAACTGGACCTACTAATTTTTTTTAGCTAATTTTTATTTGAAATTTTTAACCAAACCATGGAGAAAATTTTGGAGAAAAATGTTGTATATCCACTTGAGAATCAAGAATTTCTCAAATATTGGGGAAGGATTGGAAATTTGTTTTCTCTCTGCATATTGAGTATTTGTATAAAAGCTAAATGAGAGAGAGCTTAAATTTTGCAGCTGTTTCGAGTCATCTGCTATTTCATTTATTTACATAATTATTGCAATGCACCCAGCAACCTTTTAGAATATTCTATAGAAAAGGATATCGACAATAATCCTAGAATGGTTTTATTATAGTGCCCTTATCCTTAGTGCCATTGTCTTCAGCTTAATGCGTTCTGAGCCCAATCACTATTTTTTGAGAGTGTGCAATGGCCTGTTACTTTACTTGAATGATTCTTTTACTCAAGGTCATTAAGTGAATTAAAAATCATAATAAGTATAACTAATAACCACAACATTTTTTCTGGCGAAACTTTTCGGACAAATAACTAGCTATATTTGTACAAGAAATCAATTGTTGGGTATAAGAATCAGACGACAATATTTCACCAAAAAACGTTATCAAAAGCAGTGAAAACTACGGGTGCATTCCAAAACTTCAAATATCTCTTTTATTTCTAAACCTCAGCAGACTTTTTCATCTAAGACTGGTGTTTTGTATTTCGACATTTTGGAATGCATCCTATTTAAATTGGTTGAGTAAATAAGTTGTGCTGACCATTCGTGTATTCCGCTGTACTTTAAGTCACTCTACACTCGCAATAAAATAACTGCATGCCTTGGGATTCTGCGTGTGCCATAACATAACCAATTGCATTCGTTGTTGACGTCTGATGACGACTGATAGAAGTCGAAGCAGAGTAAGAAGCAAACCACAAAGCAAGCGCTAAGCAATCAGCATAAATGTTGCGGCTAAGTCTCCAGCTGTGCCATCGCAGTAGATACGCACTAAACGGTGCACACACGTCGTTCCACGATACTTAGCCAGCAGCTGTCCCACCAATGGCGAGACTATACTCATTGCTAAGCGTCGCCACGGATGCGCAGCGCAAATCCCACAAAGGAAGTGAAATATTCATTTTGCCGTTTTGAAAAGAAGAGCGAATACGAAATCAACAACAAAACTGTACTGCTACAATGTTGGCATGGAAGTGAAAGAAGAGGAAAAAGAAAAATTACGTAGAAATGCGAAAAAAAGTAGTAAAATGTGGAAAATTCATAAATATTTTCATTTTTATTACGGAAATTTATGAAAATGAATAAATTGCGTTGACAGTGGCGGAAGTGGCCGTTGCTACTGGTGCGATTATTGTTATGGTTTTGTTGGTGGCAGCCGCTAAGGGCAACCGCAGAGCTCCAAGAATGTCGGTGTTGATGTAGTGTTGAATGAGTAAATGATTGAATGAAGAGCAGGAGGCGCACGCGGTTGGGAGTGCAGTGGAAGGGGGCGGTAACTCAAATGCGTGCCATGCATACCTTATTAACGGACAATTCATTACACATAAAAAAAAAAGAATAGCAATGTGCTTATGAATAATGCAAAATGTGTGTTAAGAGACCGACTGCCGAAGCACAAATTGGGAGACAGCTACAGATGTATTCTAATGAAGAGAAATTTCCAATGAGGGCTGAGTTTACTTGACGTTTTTCGGTGATGCATTCCTTACATATTTGTTTACAGTTTTATAGCCAATCATTTTTCCCTAAAGTAGTAAATTGACCAGTACGCTTGAGTAATTGTAGCTGTGGCGCATGAGTAATTTGGTAATTTTTTTTTTGGCCTACGAAATTGTGTGCACTCGTGTAAATTAACAAGGAAATTTTAATTTAGATTTCAAACAACAAAATTAATACAGCTCCCTCATCGACATTCTAACTAGGTGCCCAATTAATTCAACACCTTTTTTTTGCCCTATACAGTGGAATCTGGATATATGTATCTAGTAGTAGTACTGTAGTATTGAGTTATACGAATAAAATAAAATAAAAATTCCCAAAATCTGAGCATTATAGAATTTATGCATGGGTTTGAACTGTACATTTTTTTTTTTATAAAAAAAACGACTTTTTCACAAAACTTTCCTTTTTATGTTCACTGCATTTGCAAATATTTTTCTAAAAATATTAATTTTGATTTTAAATATTAAACATTTTTTATACCCGAGCGCACTTGTGCACAAGGGTATATTAATTTTGTTCACATAACGGTTGTTTGTAACAGCCAAAATGAATCGAGATAGATATAGACAAATGTACACATAAATGATCAGAATGAATAGAGAAGTCGATTAGGCCATGTCTGTCTGTCCGTCCGTCTGTCCGTCTGTCCGTCCGCCCGTGTACACGATAACTCGAGCAAAACTCGAGATATCACAACGAAATTTGGTATGTGGGTTTCCATTAACCCAAGGTAGGTTGGTATTGAAAATGGGCGAAATGGGACTGTAACCACGCCCACTTCGCATATAACGGTAATTTCCAGAAATACGAAAACTGCGATATTTTAGTAACTACTGGAGATTATTCACTCAAAATTGATATTTGCAATAAGTTTTAGACGAAAAATAAGAATATTATAAATTTTTGAAAAATGGGCGTAGCCACGCCCACTTAGTGTTACATGTGTATATCTTAACAACCGCTGCACCGATTTCTTCCAAACTTGGCACAGTTATTGGCCTTGGTACAGGATACCAAATGGCCGAAAATTTTAAAAATGGGACAATAACCACGCCCACATCCCATATAACGGTAATTTAGAGAAATACAAAATCTTCGATAAATCAGTAAATATTGAAGCTAATTTATTGAAAAAATTGATGCTTGCAACAATTCTTTACCAAGAAATACGTTTATGGTAAAATTTTGGAAAATGGGCGTGGTACCGCCCACTTATGATCACATATATGTATATCGGTAACCGATCTACCAATTTGTACCAAACTCGTTATTTTTATTGTGCTTGCCACATAAAAGAAAAACGTTGAAAATTATTGAAATCGGACTAAAATTACGGCCGCTTTTCATATAACAGTAAATTACAGAAATGCTTGAAACTTCAATATTTCGAAATTTAAGGACGCTAGTTTACTCAAAATTGATACACCCGGCTTACCATCTAGCGGTAGGTTTCGGCAAGGTGAAAAAAATATATATTTAATACTTGCGCCGGGTATTTAATGTTCGGCTCCGCCCGAACTTAGACTTTCTTACTTGTTAAATTAATATTTATAAAATTTTAATAAATAAATAAAATACTTTTTCTTCTCAGCTTCCCACGAATGCTACAAAATTTATAGAGTAGTGTTATTGATATTTTTGGTGCTGACTTTCATTTGCTGGTCATCCATTGCCCGTGGCCGCAAATCATATATAGCGTATTGACTGGTTGAAATTAAAATCTGCCTCACTCTCATGTAGTTATCAATCAATTGTCAACACTGCATATATTTTGAAATGCCATGTATTCACGTACGTTCGACTTTAAATTTTCCATGATAAATGGTAGATCCAATATGGATCCACAATTTTGAATCTTTAAAATCTGATTTCAGATTCATAATCAGTAATATTTTCAAGAGGCAAAGAACTCGCGGTGATTTTTGATATTTATTTATTTTATTTTTTTATTGAAATATAGTAACCGTATACGACGTCGGCGGAAAAAATTCAAAAATCAACGGCATTTTGTAGACAAACTGAACTAGAAAATTTTCGTTACGCAACTTTATTGATTTTGTTATAATTTTTTACAAAGTTAAAAATTTTGATTTGGCTTTTATTAGACGTATCATTTTGTCACTTGTGAGCCTATACCTATCTTTAGTCTGTATACGCGAACACTGCATTTATTTACCTCTTCGTTTGATTTTGTCCCTTTTTTCTCAAAAATAGAACACCATGCGGGATATACATATACGGCCCAACATGGGCGTAGCCAGGTAGGGGCAGGGAGGTGCTCGAGCCCCCCCTAACTTTCAAACTTTCCTCATATATATATAAAATAGTACCCTGAAATGGCAGCTTAATAGGGTCGGTTAAGGGTGGTAAAGTTTAGCTCTGTTATTGAAATAAGGAAACAAAGGAGAAACGATTAGGGTGTCCGGTCCGAAATTTCATATAGAAATTCAAGTTTTATTAGAACTCACAATATAAAATCCGTTACTTTTTTTACTATAACGGATATACCCCTGGAATTTTGTCAACTTATAAAGTAAGGTACAGTATATCTGTTTATGATAAAAAATCGAATTTGGCTTCACAAACCACCGAAATTCGACATCAAACATGAACATAGAACTCACGGTTCTATGGTTAAACTTTTGCTATGTTTTATTTATTTTCAGTTCCTACATTATTAACTTTTATTATTCGGAGTTTACGTGTCGCAGAGGATATTGATTTATTAGTTAACAAATTAAATTTAAGTCGGGTTATTTGGAATACCTTCATCGCTAAAAGTACCGATTCGAATATATATCGGTACCTTAAATACGATATTTTTCGGGTATTGGTACTTTCTTACGATACTACTTCCAAGTAACGGTATCGATATCATTTCATCCCTACTTTTGAAGACCAGTTGCTTTTTTGCTTTGAAAGGAAAAAAGTATAGCGTGCCAAACTAAATACGTAGGTATATATAGGTATATGCATACATACATACATACATAATTTATTGTTTTCAATTTCCCAGAATTTCTTGTTAACTTACCTGCTACCTTATCTCTCTCTTACAGGAATCACGCAACAATTGCAGCTGATTATTTAAATGCGAAAATAAATTCCTGAATCCATATCTAGTAGAAACGCAAACAAAAAATTCACAACTAACTCGAATTTGCAAAAAAATAACTACGAAATTACCCAACAAACTCATTTATCAAATCAGAAGCATAAAAAGTGAGCAAACGTAAGTAAGGAATACAAATACGACTACAAGGGAACAAAATATTCAATACAACGCAAATAAAAACTAACTGTAGTACTTGTGCTCGCTACAAACGATATTAATGCCACAAAGTTGCAAGTTGTTATAAGAAAAAAACAAAAAAAAAAAACGTGCGCAATAATCGAGCAAATTGGGAGATGAAAGCAAAACGAAAAGAACAAGGAAGCAGCTGAACTATTTGATTCAAAGGAAAAAATGCGACGTATAGGGATTTTCACATGAAAAATGATGTTTATATGAAATTATGGCAAAAACCCCGAAAAAGCGAGATATTGCATACTCGAGCATGCACTACAATAAAATAACAATACATTATTCGGTCGAATAGGAGGAAGAGAAGGAGAAATAAGGGTGAAAAAGCAAAGCAACAGATACAGCCAGCAATAGCGAGAGGAAAGGAAACTGGCAAAAGGAGTATGCGGAATAACGATGCAAAGAAATGTTAATGTAATAAGTGTAACATAATAATAATAACGAAAAGCAACAAAAACTGATATAGCAGCAGCGAAAAACGTGATATACATACATTACTGCCAAAACTGAAAAGCAGTGAAACTGAAAGCACAAAAAAGTGGAAATGTGCATGTAGAGCGCAAGCAGAAGAGAAACGGGAGAAGGAACGAACAAACGGAGGAACACTATCGGGCAAAGTAAAATCTGTACAACAAGCAGAAGACATTATTGTCACGACAAACAATATACAAATACAAAAATAGAAACAAAAACAAAAACAAACACAAATAGCATACAAAGGAGCGCACACGCTGAGAAGCAGACTGCCAAGGCGCCGATTGTGGGAGTAAAAATAAAAAGAGTGATAGCATAGTCCGCGTTACGTCAACGATTGCAACATTTATCAAAGAACTTGGAAGACAGATTTTTTGCCCGCCTAGTACTCCTTTGCATAGTTACACATACATACGTATATCGAACTTAACACGAAAATAGGAAACCCACCATTTCAACATTGCCAATGCAAGATTTATGTTTGGCCATTCCCTGCCGGTCCACTTATACATACATACGTATTCGGTGTGAACTCAGTTCAAAAACACATTAACCCTAATGAGTGAGCATCGCAAGACTCCACTTCTTGACGCTATTGTGCTATTATCGCGACTTCTGTTGTGAATCACTTTTGCAATACACACCTTCGCCAAAAGCCGTGTGTGTGTGTGTGTGTGTGTATCTCTCGGTGGGCGTGGTAGTTTAGTGGTGTTGGTGTTGGTGACGGTGTCGGTGTTGCTGCGCCAAAGACTGCACGAATTTTACAAACACCAATGTTGCCGATATTAATGCCAATGCACATGCTCGAAATCCGGATAATACTACTTTGCCTGCCATCGATACTACTGGCGACGACGCTGGAGCCAGGTGAGTACAGTGTACTGCTAGGCAAATAAAATTTACTTTAAGATTTTTAAGTTGGTTAAAATGTAATAATTTTTTCATAAAAATGTTTTCAAAATATTGCAGTGGTTTATTTGATTCCAAAGCTAATCTAAAACTTAGTATAGCGAGGTAATTAAATATCTTACGCGGCTTTTAGTATGCTATTCATTTCGAAAATAAAAATTTACAACTTTTGGTTCGAAAACCTTCATAGCCAAGAAAAGCATGGAATGTATGGTAAAATCGGAAAACTTTTTATTTCAGGTAGGGAATGCTATCAATATTCCTTTTCTTAGTTCACTTCACGCCTCTAAAATAAATTTAGTATTTCCCTATAATTTAAAAGTTCTTTAACTACCAAAGCGGATTGTCCAATACAATTTTTACATATAAATGGATATCTCTCCGAACTTGCCCTTTGCTTCAACGTAAAGAATCGTATCGCCTTTTCTAATCTTTTTTCTGATGACGCTGGACATTTAGGTTACTTTAGGTTAAAATGGCTACAGAGAGTGGCTCCACCTTACAATTGGGCCAAGGAAAGGTTCATTATGTTACCCTATGTCATCTATGTTCCTCTGGGATGTTGCGACGATTACTCGGAATCAAACCAATTTGTTAAAGTAATGAACTTCGATAATGCTCTTATATCCATTTCCTATATCTCTGAGAGGTCTTGTAGAGAGGGCTTTCTAAGCATCTGTAGTGCTGGGCATTCGCATATAAGCTGTTCTACACTCTTCCTTTCACATCTGCACCTGCGACAGCAGTCTAGCACAATTAGACAGTGTCCTGTAAGAATTCCTGTGAGAAAAGATACGTACCCTGGCCCGTTTTTACGCTAACAGTACAGACGTGCGTTTTTTTATCGTAAGAAAGCCATACAAGCTTAGCAGTTTCACAGAAGGAGAGGTTTATTCAGCGTTAGTTTGCTGCTTGTGTGGTTATGTTCCTAACATGTAGTTTGAAAATGGCCATTGGTCCTTCCCTGGAGATATGGGTGCGGTGTCCAGGCACCGATATGAGTTGTATTCTATAATGGTGGGCCACCTCGTTCAAAGATCTGTGGCATTTAGTGAGAGACTTTGTGTTGTCTACGCCTGACTCTAGAATCTTCAGTACTGCTTGACTGTCACAGAAGATAAAGACCCGTCTTTTCTCATGCGGTCACCCTACTAGGTACCGAGTAGTCTCATGGATAGCCAGAATATCCGCCTAGTCTAGTCTCTAGTTCCAGTTCCGAGGAGAAAACTCCTCCCCGACCTTTCCGCCATATTTGGAGCCTTCAGTATACGTGTTTATAGTTTTAGGTATGTGGTGGGGCCTGATTTCCCAGTCTTTTCGTTTCGGATTCTTGGTGAAAGTAATAGATGGTATTCAGTAGTCAGTGCTTGCAGGTATCGGTATGGGCGCCCTGGCTTCTTGGATATTCGATGGCCGGATGTGCCATGAGTCCAGGAACTTGCTTCTGTAGTGCTTAAGGCTGCAACAGCAGCTATTACTCTTGCAACTGAATTAAACGGGGACAGATTTAGAATCGCGTTAAGAGCTTCAGTAGGCTTATACATAGCTCCGCATTCCTTTGTACCTTTTGAAATTGCTTAAGCGCTGTTGTCTATAAATCTGCCATTGCTGTAGGCATGCTGCGCATTAGATAAATGATTTGGGTTAATCGATCGTCTTATATAAATCTCCAGAAGTCTTAATTAGAGAGGAAGAAAGGCTAATAGGCGATATAGGGCAAGGAGGTTTGCCATTGTCTGCTATTTGAAAATTTTTTTTTTTTTTTTATTTCTGGCGCCAGAAATTTAACCATGGACCTCCCGAGTGGCAGTCGGCACAGGCAAGCACTCGGCTACGGCGAGAAGTGCGCTACTTAAATACGAAAAGAGTCAGAAAAAATTATTTAAAGTATTAAAAAAAGTTAAAATAAGACTAAGCGTGAATTTTTCACTGATTTTTATAAGTTTTAATTTTGTCCAAAAAAAACTTTGAACTTATTTGGTTTTTTTTTTTCTTTTCTAAATAAAATCTATCTATACTGTTCACAGTTTCATTACATTTTTGGTCTTAACTTCATATCAGTAACTCGTAAACCGGTTTTGGAAACAAGGCGACTAATATAACACCCTACTAAGCACTTCTTCATCGAATTTGCTTAACTTCAAAATACTCTGCCCTTTTATTGTTAGGCGTCGACCATATATCCATATGAATATTTTCGATACTATTGAATCTGAAACCTAGCAAGGAATGACATTGACATGATGCAAGTGATTTTACTACAAACCAGTATTTTTTTTTTTGAGCTATCGGGTTATATAACACTGTAGGGGCGCCAAAATGGCACAAAAAAAACTCAAACTTAATTTTTGGTCCTAGATTACGAACTAGTTTGCATTTCGAATGAGAAAATATCAAAATTATAGTACGCCTCACCATGTACGCTATGGCGTATGAGTAACAATATTTCCTGCTCCTATTTCCTACTAGAAATTACTGCACATTTTCATTTGACCATTCACAGCCTGTTTATATATTCATCTATTTTCATACCTGCTAGCTCATCGTTTTAGCAAAAGAATAGTCCTTAATAAAAATTAAAATTATTTACAACAGATCTGTTATTTTTTCAATTTTTCTTGGTAAAGTTTAAATTTTTTTCATAAAACGACTCAATATTAAGTTCACGCGTTTCGGCGTTTTCTGTGTCATTTCAAAACTTTAAGATTTTCCCCTAAAGTGTAATTAGAGCATCCATGACTGTGATTAGTCCTTTTCTTATTCTCTCAGCAGGACGTAATAAGATCTGTGATGGCATCCAAGTCAGCCTTGATAGCTTTGTCATCCTGATTTCAATTTGGTTCACAGAAAAAAGGTAGGCAGAATACATTAACATATTTCGCAACATGAACAACGGCGCCCCACATATGCTAACAATACCATCGGACCTGCGCATAATCATCTGAAGTAACATAAAAAGGAAGAAAACTTTAATTCTTCATTGCGTTTTAAATCTTTATTTTGGCGAAAAACGCAAAACAAGCGATGAATTTTCAATATATTTAATAGGTACATAAAAACCCGTAGCCTCTCAGTTTTAGCGATGCCATATGGCAACAGGACATACATATAACAGGATCCAGGATACCTACCGAAGTCCCTTTTTTTGTTATTTATGATTCCAATGACCGATCAGGATTATTCGGATTAAAGTGCTTGATACTGCATTTATGTATATCGCCAGGGTCCACTGGTAGCCTTTGTTTTGCCAATGTTCAAGTAGTGTAAATATATATCATATATATATATATACAAGGATCCCAATGGCTCTAAAGCATTCATGTTCCTGCTTAAATTGCAGTAATTAATCTAAGTTCGATCGATTGAACATAATTGGTGTATTATTGCTGTGATATCTGTATTTATAAATAAATCGTGGTCAATACGAGGTGGGTGACTTATCAGAGTATATCTTTACTAACAGTGTTTTTACTTCTGCAAATAGTGGTTCAATTTAAATCGACTTTTATAGATACAAATTTTTTTTTTAGAATATATAAACCAGAAGCAGGCAGGGTTCTTTTATAACCGACCAGTTTGAAATATTTATAATCCAATTGCAGTGGGCTTGGACATTGATTTCTTACCTAAAATGTTTTGCTAAATGAATAACCTTCTACTTTCTTCCCTTCTTCCCACATAGCAAAATTTAGTGCACTGGGGCGTATACGTAATAATTTTACCAAAATTTAAATATTTATGTATGTATGTGTACCGCACCCTATACATTGCTAATATGAAACTTTTGTGAGGCTTAAGAAATATAACAAATTTTTCATTTTAATCCGTGAACAAAGTGTATACGATGCATCCTTCTAATAAGTAATAAGCAGAAATAAAGATAAAAAAAACAAGAAAAATGCGCTGTGGAAAAAATTCTAAAAGAGGCCTTACTAAACATTAAGCACACAAGCCACACACCATCGAATGCGCTTAAAGCGAATATTTACCGCCTACTTTTATGCCGAACGCATTCATCTTGAGCAGTAACTTGCCGCTACTTTCCACTCATTTTGGTTTCATTTGGATGGATAGAGAATACACATAGGACTTGCAGATAATAAGCATAATGAAGAATACACTGGGGAGAGATTAGTGAAAGCAAGCATGAATGCGGCAGTAAATATCATAAAAGTAGAGAGGAGAAATTTGGAAAGAAAAGTAAATAAGTACTCGTATGTACTTGTAAAAGACTTGCGTAAGGAAAACGAACAAGTGTTGTGTTGCTTAACGATTTGAACACCCTGAAAAACGCCTCCTATGCAATGTCTTACTGTTACATTCCTATGTATATACGTATGTATGTATGTACGTGTCTCGCGAGTTAGACGCTTACCCATTTTGTGCTGTGTTGTGTATCCTCTGGCTAAGAGCGCGCTCGCAGCAAAGTGGTAATAGAAATTTGATATTATTTATGAAGCGCGCACGTTATTTGACCTTAGCGGTCGGGAATAAATTATCAACGCGATACGCCTGTTTGCTATGAGTATTTCTGTGAACCAGCCTGGCATTTGTTAAAGCTAGATGGCGGGCCACACCATCTCAGTGATCATTTTTCGCTACGTGCTTATTGAAAAAGGCGAAAACCGCTGAATGCAAACAAGACTAAATTACGCCAATTTTATGTGGGTAAGAATTTTAAAATTTATTCGCCATTTATGTGCCTTCATAAATAAAACTCGGCGAAAACTGAATCGTGGCAGGAAAGTTATGTAGCAGCAAATAATAGTCCGCAAGCGTCTATGTTAAAGGGGTTGTATGGAGGTGTTGCCAGAATTGTTTGGGCCTTATTATAGTGTGTTTGTATGTATTTTATCTTAAATTGCAGCACACTTTTAGGCGCTCACGCATATTTTATTATACTTTATTTTAGTACCTTAGTTGAACTACGCACCTTTTTTCCATCCTAAATTTAAGTG